GTAAACTGTTAGGTAGACTAACCAAGAGGAAAAGAAAATCCAAATACACAAAATCATAAATGATAAAAGAGACATTATAACTGAGACCACAGAAATAATAAAGTATCGTTAGGACCAATGAATGATAGGCTAACAAATTAGAAAACCTAGAGGAAAAAGACAAATTCCTCGACACAGACAACCTACCGATATTGAACCAGTAAGGAAAAGAAAACCTCAACAGATAAATTCTTGGTAATGAGGTTGAATTGGAAACAAAAAGTCTCTCAACAAACAGAAACCAGGTAACTTCACCGCTAAATTCTACCAAACCTATAATGAAGAACTAATACCAATTTTCTCAAAATGGCCCAAAAAACTGAAGAGGATTCTTCCTAACTCATTCAATGAGGCCAGCATCATTTCAACAACAAAACCAGACAAGGACACAACAAAAAAAAGAAAACAAGAGTCCAGCAGTCATGATAAACACAGATGCAAAAATCATCCACAAAATACTACCAAACTGAGTCCAACAACACATCAAAAAGATAACACACCATGATCAAATGGGATTTATGCCTGGGAGGCAAGGATGATTCAACATATGCAAATTAATAAATGTGATACAATCAATAGAATGAAGGACAAAAACCATACAATAGTTTCAATAAGTGCAAAAAAAGAACTTCATGAAGTTCAAGATCCTTTCATGATGAAAAAAAAAACTCTCAGCGAATTCACATAGAAGGAACATACTTCAATCAATAAAGGCCATATATGACAAACCCACAGCTAATATCATACTGAAAGGGGAAAAGCTGAAAGCCTTTCTTATAAGAACTAGAATAAGACAAGGATACCCCACTTTCAACTACTCAGAGCCTTGCTCTGTCGCCCAGGCTGGAGTGCAGTGGCACAATCTCGGCTCACTGCAAGCTCTGCCTCCCAGGTTCACACCATTCTCCTGCCTCAGCCTCCCAAGTAGCTGGGACAGGCGCCCGCCACCACGCCCGGCTAATTTTTTTGTATTTTTAGTAGAGACGGGGTTTCACCGTGTTAGCCAGGATGGTCTCGATCTCCTGACCTCGTGATCCACCCACCTCGGCCTCCCAAAGTGCTGGGATTACAGGCATCAGCCACCGCACCCGGCCTCAACTACTCATAATCAATGCAGTACTGGAAGTACTGGAAGTCCTAGACAGAGCATCAGGCAAGAGAAAGAAATAAAAGCCATATAAATTGGTAAACAGGAAATCAAACTGTCCCTCTCTGCAGATGACATGATCTTATATACAGAAAGACCTAGACTCTACCAAAAAGCTAATGGAACTGATAAAACAAATTCAATAAAGTTGCAGGACACAAAATTCACATACAGAAATGACTAGCATTTCTATACACCAATAATGAACCAGCTGAAAAAGAAATCAAGAAAGCACTCTCATTTACTATAGCTACTAAAAAAAATTAAATACCTGAGAATAAATCTAACTAAAAAAGTGGAAGACCTCTGTAACTAAAACTACAAAACACTGATGAAAGAAATTCAAGAGGACACCAAAAATTGGAAAGATATCCATGCTCATGGATTGGAAGAGTTAATATTGTTAAAATAGCAATATAGACCAGGCGCGGTGGCTCATGCCTGTAATCCCACCACTCTGGGAGGCCGAGGTGGATGGATCACCTGAGGTCAGAAATTCAAGACCAGCTTAGCCAACATGGTGAAGCCCTGTCTCTACTAAAAATACCAAAAAAACCAAACCAAAACAAACAAACAAACAAAAAACTTAGCTGGGCATGGTGGTGCAAGCCTGTAATCCTAGCTACTTGGGAGGCTTAGGCAGGAAAATTGCTTGAACCCAGGAGATGGAGGTTGCAGTGAGCTGAGATCATGCCACTGCACTCCAGCCTGGGCGATGAAGCAAGACTCTGTCTCAAAATAAATAAATAAAAAATAAAACAGCAGTATTACCCAAAGCAATCAAGTAATTCAATGCAATCTTTATTGAAATACCAATGACATGCTTTACAGAAATAAAACAAAATTCTAAAATTCATTTGGAATAACAAAATATTCCAAATAGCCAAACCAATCGTGAGAAAAAGAGAACAAAGCTGGAGGCATCACACTACCTAATTTCAAAAAATAAACTACACAAACCTACAGTAACCAAACAGCATGATATTATTGTAAATACAGATCCCAATGGAACAGAAACCCAGAAATAAATCCATGTATTTACAGCCAACTCATTTTCAACAAAGGTACCAGGAACAAACATTGGGGAAAAAACACCCTATTCAATAAATGGTGCTGGAAAAATTGGATACCCACATGCACAAGAATAAAACTAGACTCATCTCTCACCATATACAGAAATCAAGTCAATATGGATAAAAAACCTAAATGTAAGACCTGAACCTATAAAACTAGTAGAAGAAAACATAAGGCAAATGCTTTTGGACATTGGTCTAGGCAAAGACTTCAAAAGCATAGGCAACAAAAACAAAAACAGACAAATGGGGCTATTTAAACTATTAAGCTTCTGCACAGTTAATGTTAACAATCAACAGAGCGAAGAGACAATGTGGTGAATGGAAGAAAATATTTTCAAAGTGTTCATTAGACTAGGGACTAATATCCAAAATTTACAAGGAAATCAAACAATTCAACAGCAAAAGAACATATCCCATTATAAAGTGGGCAATGATTAGAATAAACATTTCTCAAAAGAAGACATACAAATGGCCAAGAAGTATATTTAAAAATGCTCACCATGAGTAATCATCAGGGAAGTTCAAGTCAAAACCATAATGACATTTCATCCCACCCCAGTTAGAATGACTATTATCAAAATGACAAAAACATAACAAATGCTGGTGAGGATGCAGAGAGAAGGGAACTTTTATATGGAGTTAGTGGGAATATAAACTAGTATAGAGCCATTATGGAAAACAGTGTAGAGGTTTCTCAAAAACTAAAATAAAACTACCATATGAACTAGCAATCTCACTACTGAGTATTCTTCCAAAGGAAAGGAAATCAGTGGGATCCTGCAACCCCATGTTGACCGCAGCACTATTCACAATAGGAAATATATGGAATCAACCTAAGTGTCTACCAGCAGATGAATGAATAAAGAAAATGTGGTATGTGTGCACAATGAAATATTATTCAGCCATAAAAAAGAATGAAATCCTGTCATTTGCAACAACATGAATGGAACTGGGGGTCATTTTGTTAAGTGAAATAAGCCAGGCACAGAAAGTCAAATATCCTATGTTCTCATATACGTGAAACGTTGATGTCACGGAGGTAGAGAGTAGAATGACGATTACCAGAGCTGGGAAGGGTAGCGTAGGAAGGAATAGGGAGAGGGTCAGTTAATGGGTACAAACATACAGTTAGATAGAATGAATAAGCTGTGGTGTTTCATAGTACAGTAGTGTGACTATAGTTAATAATCTATTGTATATTTCAAAATAGCTACAAGAGATGAGTTGAAATGTTCCCAATACAAAGAAATGATAAATATTTGAGGTGAATTTCCTAATTACCCTGATTTGATCATTATTTATTTATTGTATGCATGCATCAAAATATGAAATGTACCTCATAAATATGTACAACTACTATGTATCAATTTAAAAAATGAGTGGGGCCCAGTGGTTCATGCTTGTAATCCCAGCACTTTGGGAAGCTGAGGCAAGAGGATCACTTGAGGCCAGGAGTTTGAGACCAAACTGGGCAACATAACAAGATCCCGTCTCTGGGGGAAAAAAAAAAAAAAAAAAAAGCCAGGCATGGTGTTATGTGCCTGTAGTCCCAGCTACTCAGGAGGCTGAGGTAGGAGGACTGCTTGAGTCCATGAGTTCAAAGCTGCAGTGAGCTATGACTGCACCACTGAACCCCAGCCTAGGGAAGAGAGTGAGACCCTCTCTCAAAAAATAAATACACAAATCAAAAAATTTTTAAATGTAAAAAACAATAAAGAAGCTCTGAAGTATTCCAGTGGATATTCAATCCCTTCCATACTTCATCCTGCTCCCCAAAAGGTTCTTGTACTAATTATAATTCTTCAAAGTGAAGCCCTTGTGTCACATATAATATTTTTTTCATGTCTTTTTCAATTAACCTAACAAATGTTTTAAACAGGCAACATAATCACAGAGTGAAGTTGCAAAATGGCCTTGTTATGGACTGAATGTTTGTGCCCTGCCTCCCAAAATCGGTATGTTGAAATCCTAACCCCTAGTGTGATGGTATCGGGAGGTAGAGCCTTTGAGAAGTAATTATGTCATAATTTACGAGAGCAGGGCCCTCATGAATGGGATTCACGCCTTTATAAAAGGGACCCCAAGACAACTCCCTCATTCTTTCTGCCATATGAGGCTACAAGGAGATGTCAGCAGTCTCCAACCCAGAAAAACCCTCTCACTAGAATCCAACCCCACTAGCGCACTGATCTCAGACTTCCAGTTTCCAGAACTGTGAGAAATAAACTTCTGTTATTCATAAGCCAATCAGTCTATCGGGCTTTGTTATAGTGGCCTGAACTAGATAGGTATGTAATGAAAAGTTTCCCTCCTTACTTTTATTCCTAGTTAACTGGTTCCCTTCTCTAAAGGCTTCAAGAAATATTTTATGCATACACAAGCAATATGTATTTATGTAAAGATCAGCCTCATTTCCTCCCATTTTAATACCAAGAGTAGGCAGCATATTACATATTGTTCAGCACCTTGTTTTTTCACTAAATATATCTATTGCAGATTATTCTACACAAAAATACTCTTTATTCCTTTTTATGGCTGAAGGGTATTCCAAAGCAGAAATGTAATATAATATTACCCCTTACTAACAGTGATTTAGTGTCCCCCTTCATCTTATGTAATGAATGAGTTGCGATGAACAGTCTTGTATATATGCCATTTCTAAATTCTTCATGTAGGTTAGTACTGTTGTTTCAGGTATTATATGACATGATTTGTGAAAAAAAAAGCTGAAAATCTACCTTAGTTTCCATGTTGAGGAGATGAAGTCCTTTTATATTCACTCCTACATACACAGGGATGACTTTATGATTGCTGGGGCTTGCCTTTGTAAATATCTGTCCTGTGAAAAATGCTGCTCCATAAGTAGGAATTTCCCAGCAATTCTGTAAGAACATGCGCTGAAGGTGATGCATTTCTTTACTGACACCTTCACTTGTACTGAGATTCTAAAAACAAAGTAAATTAAAAATAAGAGATATGAAAGGAAAATGTACCATTGATAATCCAAATAGATCAACTAAGCAGTTTCTAAAATCAAGACTGCCCCTAAAGAATAAAATTATGGCACATTATATCAGGAATACTTTTTCTCTTGCAATGTTAATATTAAAAAAAAATCGAGGTCTAAAAATATTGTCTACGCTATTGGGTTTTAATTGCTTCACGGGCATGGATAGTGTATTATTTCAAATTTTTATCTTTAGTCCTTACCACAGTATTCGGCATGCAGAAGGAATTCAGTAAAAGATTATATATTACTAAAAATAAAAATACCTTGCTACTTTCAATTTCAAGCATTGTGAACTAGAAGATACATTTTTAATTTCAGAACTATAAATTTAATCTACCTATGTTTAAAATATTAATAACACTAACAAAGTTTCAACTAGCCTATAAAGCATCTTCATTTCTATTAAACAGCTTACCTTGTATTCATGAAGTATGCGATTTGTCCAGTGAGGTGCCTTACTTTTCAGTTTGGTAACAGGTACGATAGATTTTAGATTTTCTTCACTGTAAGCACACATACCAACATCCTTTAAATAAATCATCTTTAGTAGCTAAAGTATAGTAATCATTCTGTTACAACTGGCTTTCAGTAACGTAATTTTTAAGCTGAAAAATACTTTGCTGTAAAATATCAGAAAACTCTAAAAATGTTAAGCAAAAAGCCACAAATCTCATATTATCAATTTAGATAAATGTTTCTTCTTTCAATAACCAGAAACTATTTTTGAAAATTGAAAACCACAATAACCAAATTCAGATATGCTTAAAACCTCAGTGTTTTCTCTCAAAGACTGAACATAAAACCAGTTTTTATGGTGGGATTCTTAAGTACATCTGGCTTATAAAATTTTTTACTACTTATTCAAGTCAGGTTTTAGTGAACTTATTTAAGCATAAAAAAAGATAAAATATAAAGTGTATCAAACTATAGTCAAATATAAGAAAAGTACATTTGGAGAATGTAACTTTAAGAATGCTTTACTATAATGTTTTCTTTTCTCATTCTACATCTTATATTATTTAATTCCAAACCAATGTAATGTATAAATATTTTCTAATAACATTTTTAAACTTTCTTGGTTAAACAGAATCTTGACCATAGCACAAGACCATGCATAATATTAAATACTTACTTTAGGAAACCTTGCTTGTGTTTTTTACTCTCATAATTTCCATAGACTATTTGCAAAAGCAGACTTGCCAATGTTATCAACTTAGCATCAGGAGCTGTATAAAAGCCCTTCAATAAATTATATCTGGCTTCATCAAAGAGAATAAGAATAGCTAGCGGGTCTTCAATCTTGAGAGAAAAAAGTATAATTTGGTTATTAGGCTACAATTTCTTTTTACAAATGAACAATTTAATATGGCAAAAGCAAAAACTACACATTTGTATATAAATGAGCTGTTAAGTAAAGGTTGGCAAACATTTTTTTGTTAAGGCCCAGAGAGTAGTATTTTAAGCTTTGGAAGCTATATAATTGCTGTTGCAACTAATCAACTCTGGCACTGTAGCACAAAGAAAGCCACAGGTGATACATCAACAAATGGGTATAGCAGTGTTCTAATAAAACTTTATGTAGGAACACTGAAATACCAATTTCGAACAATTTCGCATGACAGGAAATACTGTTCTTTTGATTTTTTTAACAATCAAAAAACAAAAAAACTTAGCTTGTGAGGTATACAAAAACTGGCAAAATATGGCTATAAGCTATAGTTTGCTAACCTGGTTGTCTAAGAAATATCATCAGTTTATAAATATGGATAATTTTTAGCAAAATTTTACCTAAATTTTTGTATTACTGAAACATTTTTCTATTAACTGTGCTGCAAACAATACAGTAGTGGACTTCAAAGAAGATAAAAGGAAGTATCTTAATTTCAAAAGGACAAATGCATTTTTTGTTGTAAGACATTTTAAATTTTGACTAAAAAGACTATGTACTTTCAAATATTAATAATATTCAAGAAGAGTAAATGTTTGTTTTGTTTTTTGAGATAGGGTCTTGCTCTGCCAGCCAGGCTGGAGTGCAGTGGCGTGAACATGGCCTACTGCAGCCTCGACCTCCTGGGCTCAAGCTATCTACCTGCCTTAGCCTCCCGAGTAGCTGGGACAAGAGGTGTGCACCACCACACCTGGCTAATTTTTAAATTTTTTGAAGACAGAAGGTCTTGCCATGTTGCCTAGGCTGGGCTCAAGCAGTGCTCTCACCCTAGCCTCCCAAAGTGTTGGGATTACAGGTGTTAGCCACTGTGCCTGGCCTAGATCTTTTTTTTTTTTTTTTTTAATTTTAAAAACTTTAAAGTTTATCCAATAAGATTAATAAAGATTGAGAACTCCTGGCCTACAGAATGCATTCCTACTTGTACACAGTCACCAGTTATAAAGTTTCTGAATAAATACTTAAAGTATTTCCAAATACAATTCACAATGATCCCAAGCTTGAATAAAAATGATTTTTGCGGCCAGGCGCAGTGGCTCATGCCCGCAATCCTAGCGCTTCGGGAGGCTGAGGCGGGCGGATCATGAGGCCAGGAGATTGAGACCATCCTGGCTAACACGGTGAAACCCCGTCTCTACTAAAAATACAAAAAATCAGCCAGGCGTGGTGGCGGGCACCTGTAGTCCCAGCTACTGGGGAGGCTGAGGCAGGAGAATGGTCTGAACCTGGGAGGTAGTGCTTGCAGTGAGCCGAAATTGCGCCACTGCACTCCAGCCTGGGTGACAGAGAGAGACTCTGTCTAAAAAAATAATAATAAAATAAAATAAATTATTTTTACAACATTACCTGAAATAATACTATTTTTCTATCTCAAAACACTGTATGCAATAGTAAAAAAAACATTTCATGGGAAAAAAATGAAGGGGACTGTTTTAGATTAAAAGAGACTAAAAAGACATCCAAATATAAAGCATGAGCCTTGACTAGATCCTGGGGTGGGGAGGTATACAAGTATTTTGAAACAACTGGGAAAAATCTGAATTTGAATCAGATATTATGTAATTATGGAATTATTAATTTTATTAGGTTGGAAATGTTATTGTGATAGGTAGAGATGTCCTTATTCTTAGAAGATGCATGCCAAAATATGTAGGAATGACACCTGCAACTCACTTTAAAATTATTCACAAAGAAAGTAAATACAGTAAAGCAAATTGTTAACAACTAGTGATCTAATGAATGGTAAATGGTGTAAACTGTATTACTTTTTAATATGCCTATGGCTTTTCAAATTTCTCAAAATAAAATGGAAAAATACTGAATGAAAGCATGTTTTCTAATAAAAACTGACATCGTATATTTGAAGAATATGAGTAGATAATAACAGTTACAATTCCCAATACCATGTTCAAGGAGTTTTAGTCTCCATTTTTTCATTTCTAATGAAATCAGGATGTTTTCATCCTAAAAGGATGATGCTAAACAATACGTGTAATTCTGTTTTTCAGATGGTACAAACAGGAATTTCTTAACTAATAAGTGAAAGAACACAACTGCTTTACCAGATTATCATGACATTCTGGTTTACCATAAGAACTTACTAAACCTTGCTTCCTTTTTACTTGAGTCTCCTTTATTTTAAAATTATGCAATTTATTTATCATCCAAGTATTATCATTAGTGCTCCTTTTCTCTACCAGTGAACTATTAAAATATTACTTGGGACGAGAAGGCAGACTGAGTATACTTAGATTATGTGCAATTTTATAGATATCATACTTTTTTTAAGTTATAGGGTAAAACAGATATAACATTTGTCATTTGAACCATTTTTAAGTGTGAGATTCACTGGCATTAATTATGTTCACAACGTTGTGCTACCGTCACTACTATCTAGTTCCATGTAGTTTATATCACCCCAAAGAGAAAGTCTGTTAACTGGTAAGAACTTCCCTCCCCTCCCCCAGCCCAGCACCTCTGATAACCTCCAATCTATTTTTCCCCTTTATGCCTTTGCCTATTCTAGATTACTAGAGTTAAATATTTGTTCTTTTGTGTCTGGCTTATTCAGTATGTTTTCAAGGTTCACTCATGTTGTCACATATATCAAAACTTCATTCCTTAATTACTCTATTTGTACATATAGACCACATTTTGTTTGTCCACTCATCTGTTAATAGACACTTAGGGTGCCTCTACCTTTTTGGTTATTATGAATAATGCTGCAGTGACATAAAAATATGTTTGAATTCTTGTTTTCAATTATTTCAGGCATATATCTAGGAGTGGAATTGCTGGATCATATGGTAATTCCAGTTTTAGATTTTTGAAGAACCACTGTTTTCCACAGTGGCTGCACAATTTTACATTCCCACCTGCAATGTACCAGGGTTCCAATTTCTCTACATTTTTACCAACTCATTTTCTGTTTTTTATAGTCATCCTAGTGGGTGTGGTTTCTCATTGAGGTTTTAATTTGCATTTCCCTAATAACTAATGATGCTGAATATCTTTTCATGTGTTTGTTCACTACTTATATATTCAAGTCCTTCGACCTATTTTATTTACAGACAGGGTCTTGCTCTTTCATCCAGCCTAGAGTGCAGTGGATGATCATAACTAACTGTAACCCTGAACTCCTGGGTTCAAGTGATCCTCCCGTCTCACTCTCGAGTAGCTAGGACTACAGGTGTGTGCCACCATGCCAGGCTATTTAAAACAAAAAAAGAAACTTTTTTGTAGAGACAGGGTCTCACTATGCAGCCAGGCTGGTCTCAAATTCCTGGCCTCAAGTAAGCCTCCCACCTCATCATTCCAAAGCACTGGGATTACAGAAGTGAATCAGCACACCTGGCCTACTTTTTTTTTTTTGAGACAGTCTTGCTCTATTACCCAGGCTAGTGTGCAGTCATGCGACATTGGCTCATTGTAACCTCTCCCTCCCAGACTCAAGCGACCCTCCCACCTCTGTCTCCTGAGTAGCTGGTACTACAGGTGTGTGCCATCATGCCTGGCTAATTTTTTAAGTTTTTTATAGAGATGAAATCTCACTATGTTGCCCAGGCAGGTCTCAAATTCCTGGGCTCCCATGATCCTCCCATCTCAGCCTCCCAAAGTGCTAGGATTACAGGAGTGAGCTACTGCACCGAACCCTGACCATTTTTAATCGGGTTGTTGGCCTTTTTATTGTTGAGTTGTAGGAGTTCTTTGTATATTCTGGATAGTAAACCCTTATCTATGATTTCCTAATATTTTCTCCCATTCTGTTGCTTTTCATTTTCTTAATAATGTCCTTTAATGCACAAAAGTTTCTGATTTTGATGTTTAACTTATCCAATATTTCTTTTGTTGTTCATGCTTTTGTTGTCATATCTGACTCCACTGCCTAATCCCAAGGTCATGAAGATTTATCCCTATGTTTTCTTCTATGAGTTTTATGGTTTTAGCACTTATATTTAGGTCACTGATGCATTTTATTATTATCGTATTTGAGACGGAGTCTCACTTTGTCACCCAGGCTGGAGTACAGTGGCACGATCTTGGCTCACTGCAACCTCCGCCTCCCGGGTTCATGCAATTCTCGTCCCTCAACCTCCTGAGTAGCTGCGACTACAAAGGTGTACCACCACGGCTGGCTAATTTTTTGTATTTTTAGTAGAGATGGGGTTTTGCCATGTTGGCCAGGCTGGTCTAGAACTCCTGTCCTCAAGTGATCCACCCGCCTCGGCCTCCCAAAGTGCTGGGATTACAGTTGTGAGCTACCACGCCCAGCCATTTTAACTTTTTATATGGCATGAGGTTGGGGTCCAATTTCCTACTTTTGCAATGTGAACTTACAGTTATACCAGCACCATCTGTTGAAGAGACTATTCTTTCTCCATTAGATGAACCTAGCAGCTTTGTCAAAAATCTACTGGCTGTACATGTATGGGTTTATTTCTGAAAACTCAGTTCTGTTCCATTGGTCTGTATGTTTATCCTTATGCTAGAGTACCACAATGCTTTTGATTACTTAACTTTGTGCTGTGCTTTGAAATTGAGTAATGTCAGTCTCTCAACTTGATTCTGCTTTATTCAAGATTGCTTTGGCTATTTGAGGCCGCTTGCAATTAATGTGGATTTGAGGACTGTCCATTACACTTTAACAAAAAAGGCTATTGGAATATTGTTAGGGATTGCATTAAACCTGTAGATCACTTTGCTAGTAGTGACATCTTAATGACACTAACTATTCCTATCATTGAACACAGAGATGTCTTTCCAGTTATTAGGTCTTATTTTTCAGCAATGTTTTAGTTTTAGTGTACAAGTCTTGAACTTCTTCTGTTAAATTTATTCCTGGGTATTATATTTTTAGATGCTATTTTAATGGACTTCTTAATCTCTTTCTTGTATTATTCTTTGCTGGTGTATAGACAACAGATTTTGTGTGTTGAGCTTATACCTTGAAACTTCGTTGAATTAATTTATTAGCTCTAGTGTTCTTGTGGATTCTTTGGGAATTCCTATGTATACGTCATTTGCCAAAAACTAAGGTCTTGATTATTGGTGAAAGTGGGTATCTTAATTTTGTACCTTATCTTAGGAGGACAGTTTTCAGTCTTTTACCATTGAATATGATGTTAGCTGTGGGTTTTTTGTCAACACCCTTTATCATGCTGAGAAGTTCGCTTGAATTCCTAGTTTTCTGAGTTTTTTAAATCATGAAAGGGTGTTGGATTTTGTCATATGCCTTTCTGGATCTCGTGTTTTCTTCCCTCCCTTTCATTCTATTAATATGATTCTAACACATTTTTAACAAATAGTGAAGCCCTTAGTTTTTGGTAAATTTCATAGCAATTTTTACGTGACTCCTAGTGTATCTGGCTGAAAGGATCAATTCTATCTTTGGCTTGATAATATAAAAGGAGCAATATACATAGTTATGTATAAAATGTTAAACAAGTTTGGACAAGGCTGTTGAAATTTTCTTGTACTAAAATTTGTTTAACTGTGTTTGTTTAATATTCCCTGAGAATAAAGAATTGAGAAATGTATTCTATTTTTTTCTTCACTAACACTGTAAGACCATGAAACAATTTCACCATATTTAGATTATCATGCCTAATTTAAGCTGTTATAATCAATCTCTCCCTTGTCCATTCATCCTTCCCTTTGTTTTTTTTTTTTTTTTTTTGAGATGGAGTCTCGTTCTGTCATCCAGGCTGGAGTGCAATAGCACGATCTCGGCTCACTGCAACCTCCGCCTCCCAGGTTCAAGCAATTCTCTGCCTCGGCCTCCCAAGTAGCTGAGATTACAGGCGGCCGCCACCATGCCTGGCTAATTTTTGTATTTTTAGTAGAGACGGGGTTTCACCATCTTGGCCAGGCAGGTCTTAAATTCCTGACCTCGTGATCCACCCGCCTTGGCTTCCCAAAGTGCTGGGATTACCGGCATGAGTCACTGTGCCTGGCCCATTCATCCTTCTTATGGCATTATGTCACTTCTTCCTCTCTAAAATCCACAGTAGTTCAAATAGAAATATACTTGTCTGGACAGACTTCTTTTTATCAAATGTAAATACTATTCTCATTTTTTACTATGTACAGAGTTCCCTGTTTGAGTTAAGATGAGCTACTTAGGCTAGGCACGGTGGCTCACGCTTGTAATCCCAGCACTTTGGGAGGCCAAGGTTGGCAGATCACTTGAAGCCAAGGGTTCAAGACCAGCCTGGCCAACATGGCAAAACCCTGTCTCTGCTAAAAATACAAAAAAAGTTAGCTGGGTGTGGTGGCACACGTCTATAATCCCAACTACTTGGGGGAGGTTGAGGCACGAGAACTGCTTAAACCTGGGAGGTGGAGATTGTAGAGAGCTGAGATAGTGCCACTCCAGCCTGGGAGACAGAGCAAGACTCAGTCTCAAAAAAAAAAAAAAAGAAAAAAAAAAATGAGCCCCTTACGGACTGTTAAGAATGACGTTCGCATTGTTCCCTTTGCAAGTATACCAGGATGTTTTTTCTGTTCTCTCCCATACCAGTGTTTCTCTTTCTTCCTTCAAAATGTATACAACTGATTAGCCCTTTATTAAGTTTATCCTTGACAGTGTACTTCCTAACTAGTCTAAACAATTTTTTTCCAGTATAATTTGGCTCCACATCTGATTGCTAATTTTCTTTAAGATAGCCTATTTCTTTTGTATTCTTAAGACAATGGGAGTGGAAATGAAACATCCCAACTTTGTAAGTTGGCTTTGTAAGTAGATCAACCGAAATTCCACCAATTATTTCAGGGATATAAGGATCGATATAAGGATGTAAGGATCGATATAAGGATGTAAGCACAATTTCTGCCTCTAGTACTTACAATAGAAACTCAATAGATTTTGTGCATTTAAATAACTGTAAATAAGATTTCAAGCAAACCTGTTTTTCAACCTCCAAAGGAAGTCTCACATCTCTTCTTAGAAAAAGCTGAGATGTTTCCCTTTGAGGATCCAGATTAGTCAATTCAGCAAGTATTTCTGGCCAGTCACGAACATGTTGCAAGGGTTTATGATATGGTTTGAGTTGAAGGCCTGAAAAACATCTTTCCTTTTATAAATGATAATGTAAAAAACTCAATTATATCAATGCATAGAAACTCTGTATTAAACTATCTGCACTTCTGTACTGAATACTCACAAATTAAATTTAAATCTAAAATTGACATTTTAATCAATATTACTACCCAATTTGTGGTTAACTGCTTATTATCAAGAACATAAGAATTATTAAAAATAATTCTTACATAAAATTTATCAAACGTATATGAAATCCTTAATTCCATTATAGCCTATTCAATTATGACATAAGTAGAATTCCTAGTTAAAAAGATACAACTAAGCCATTAAATATCCAATCATATCCATCAATTAAATTCTGTATGTATGTGTAATACTTTGAAGAACAAATATATAGTGTCATTAGGTTGATTTTAAATAAGAAGGTTGATTTTAAATAGAAAACTCATGTAAGACAAAAGAACATTTGTATTATTTCAAAACGAGCACAAAGAATAAAGGCAAGTCGCATGAGCACAACATTTAATGGCATTCAAATCAAATGCTATTGCCATAGAAGAAAAGTTTTCTTTTTTAATTATTAAAAAATGCTTTGAATGAAGCAGGGAAGGGGGTGGGCAGGGACTTACCTCTATATTTATATAAAAGAGAAGAACATTGTATTTATTCAAAATTTAAGAGTCAAGAATAAAAAGAAGTTATATTTTTTACCAACCCACTACCAAAAAGGAATAATGAGGTTTACTAAAACATAATAAAAACTTACTGAGGTTTTCTGAACAAATCCATATAGTGAAATATTGCTGAGTTTCTTGAGAGAGACGCATTCCTTCCATTATCTGCTGCACTGTGGTATTATTTCCATGCTTCAATTCAACAGAACGATATGACCCATCCATTCTGTATATTCGAACTTTTTCATACTACAAGAAATGATAACTTACATAAGCAGCTTAAAAAATTATACATCACAATCTAACAAGATACTTTCCTTCAACTTCATGTGCTTTATTATAGATTTCTAACATGAAAAATATCAGAAACACTGTTGCAAGTGAGAATCTGTTGGTGATGTTTTAAAAACATTTTACTGGCCAGGCACGGTGGCTCACGCCTGTAATGCCAGCACTTCGGGAGGCCGAGGCGGGTGGATCATGAGGTCAGGAGATAAGAGCCCATCTTGGCTAATACAGTGAAACCCCGTCTCTACTAAAAACACACACACACACACACAAAATCAGCCGGGCATGCTGGTGGGTGCCTGTAGTCCCAGCTACTCAGAAGGCTGAGGCGGGAGAATGGCGTGAACCCCAGGAGGCAGAGCTTGCAGTGAGCCGAGATCATGCCACTGCACTCCAGCCTGGGCAACAGAGCAAGACTCCATCTCAAAAAACAAAAAACAAAACATTTTACTTCCATTAGTTGTATTTTCTAAAATATTTTCTTATGGATGTTCCAGAAATTAGTTTGGGAAACTAAGGAGAATGACTTAAAAAAATACCCAAAATACTTAAAATTACTTAAAATTAAAAATACTTAAAAAAGTCAAATTCTTTTGACAGGATGTTTTTAGCCCCTTTAATGTACAATGTAAATATCATACGAGAGACACAAACTTGGTTACTGAATCTAGTGTTAGCTGAGTACTTCATGAGTCTAGTGGGTCACAAATAATACAAAAGAAATGTATACCACCACCAACTTGTCCTAAGAGGAATTTGTGATGGAACACTTTGCAGGTAAAAGTTATCAATGAACTTTGAGCCAGTTTCCTTCCCCCAGTTTAGAAAACTGCACAGAGTAGTAGCTTTTTCAATGGATTTTTATTGTTATAGGAAGTAACTGATGTCCCCAAATAACTTCCAGGTCAGTGCACTTTCGATAAAAGAACTTCAACCCTCCTACTTTATTCATTCACAATATAAAGACTATATCAGGGATAAAAATGAGTTAAAACTACATAGTTAGAAAATAAATTGCAATGAAGTATAACATAAGGGTACCTGTACTGCTTGTCTATTTCCTTGACTCTGTCTTATGCTCTTGGAGTAAGTGTTTTGACAAAATGCATAAGTGTGCGGTATGCGTGTAACATTAAAGGCAGAGACCATATATTCCTTATAATTTTCAGCATTTTGTCATGTTAAATCCACAGAGATACTCAACAAATACTTATTGTATAGTTGTTGGTTAATGCCTGGAGAGGCTTAGGTAAATGGGTTATATCTGTTAGTATAAACCCTTTATCCTTTATTTGTTGGTATAAATCTTTTATTTCAAACAGTTTTTAAACTAATGATAGCCAGGAGTGGTGGCACATGTCTGCAGTCCCAGCTACTCAAGAGGCCAAGATGGGAGGACTGCCCACGCCTAGAAGGTTGAGGCTGCAGTGCATTATGATTGTCTGTGAATAGCCACTGTACTCCAGCCTGGGCAACATAGTGAGACCCTGTCTCATAAAAATAAAAATAATTAATGATTTTTATAATCATTATAACTCTTAGGCATAATTGAGTTTCTTCTCATTGTTAACCTTCTGTATTTTAATGTCACTACAATTACAAATTAAGCTTTATGCCTCTAAATACAATTATTATTTTAATAGCTATGTGTGCCAGCATTCGATTTCTGAGTTTATTTCCAGTTGTAATTAGATGGAAAGGCCAGGTTGAGTTAGCAGAATAAAAAAGCGTGGAAACACCTATTTTACTTTTATGAGGAGGAAAATGAGTCTGTTATATATAAACTAACTTGCTGAGACTAAATGAATGAATGATGTGCAATGCTTTTATTTAAAAATACAAAACGTTGCTTAAAAGGCCTAAGTAGAGGGATATACGTCAATGAATAGATTAAAATTATGTGTAATCAGGCCAGGCGTGGTGGCTCACGTCTGTAATCCCAGCACTTTGGAAGGCCGAGGCAGGCAGATCACGAGATCAGGTGACCGAGACCATCCTGGCTAACATAGTGAAACCCCATCTCTACTAAAATTACAAAAAATTAGCCAGGCGTAGTGGCAGGCGCCTGTAGTCCCAGCTACTTGGGAGGCTGAGGAGAACTGCTTGAACCCAGGAAGTAAAGGTTGCAGGGAGCCAAAAGCATTCCAGTCTGGGTGACTCCATCTCAAAAAAAAAAAAAAAGTGTAATCAACACATCAAGCGACGAAATTATATGAAAAATTTAAGAGTTCTGAAAGTTTTATTTACTTATTTTTGCAAGTCTTATTTTGTTATGCAAGAATAAACATCCAAATGTTAGGGATAATAACAAATGTGATACCTATCTAGTCTACAATGAACTTTTTTTGTTTGTTTGTTTGAGACGGAGTCTTGCTCTGTCGCCCAGGCTGGAGTGCAGTGGTACAATCTCGGCTCACTGCAACCTCCGCCTCCTGGGTTCAAGCAATTCTCCTGTCTCAGCCTTCTGAGTAGCTGGGATTACAGGCGCATGCCACCATGCCCAGCTGATTTTTGTATTTTTCATAGAGATGGGGTTTCACCACGTTGGCCAGGATGGTCTTAATCTCTTGACCTTGTGATCCACCTGCTGGGATTACAGGTGTGAGCCACCATGCCCAGACTACAATGAGGTTTTATAGCAGTAAAGAAGCCATCTAATCGTTTGTCTTTCCACTCTTGCCACAGATCCTCAAATTTAAATCTTATTAATTTAAATACTATGCTTGGTTCTAACTATGAAGATAATTCTTACTGGCTTGTTAATGGCTTCCTTCAACAATTTTGCAGCTTCTTCCCAGTTATTTTGTTTGTTTTCTTCACAAATATTTAATGGAGATCTTCCTTGCTGGTCTGTTATATGCTAGAAATGTGGATGGGGAGGGGACAAAAAGGCATTACATATTACGGTATTCTAAAGGAAAATGTCACCCAATTAATCAAAGTTTCATGAAAAAGAGACTCTTGTCAAGTACTAAGTAAATATTAACCACACTTAGTATGTATTATGTTTAGAATAAACAAGAGTTGCCAAGATAAAAAACTCAAAGCACTAATCAATGTGATTACTGTTTTTTAAAAGTTCTGATAAAGACATAACAAAGGTTTTGTTAATACTATTTTCCTCTTTATGATATACTTTTTATGAATTTCTTTTATGAAATTCTGGAAAATCTTTTTCCTTTTTCAAGATGTTTTTGGAGACATACCATACAAAATGAAAAGAGGTTAAATTCTACATACATTCTGAAGACAGACTGTGGTGATGGTTGTACAATAATGCAAATGTACTTAATGCCTAAAAATGGTTAATGTAAAATTTAGGCATAAATTTTAGATTTAAAAAATCTAAAAAAATCTAAAAAAAAAGTACGTTCACAAGCACAACTCATATATTCCATTACTTATTCTATAAAGCACAACTCATATATTCTGTTATTCTATAAAGTAATGGAACTTATTTTTATTTTTCAGATGAACTCTCAAGCATACAATTGAACATTTTAGTGTCATTACTTGTTATTCACTGCTTGAATATTACTTTTAAAAACCTGGAAAATAACTTACTCTATCAATTTCTGGATGGTTTAGGAGAATCTGTACTATTTCAGCATGTCCTCCTCCAGCAGCAAAATGAAGAGGAGAACTAAGTTGTCCATTTAAAAGGTTCGGATTGCACTTTCCTTTCTCTAACAATATGCGAGTGGCCTCAACTTTTCCATACCTGTATGAAAAAACAAACAAAAAAAACTTACCTACAAAAGTCATCTGAAATGTTTTTAAAAATCCAAATTTTAGATCATATCTCAAAAAAATCTAAGAATTTTCTAGAACAGAGAGCAAAGGATTATTAAGATACTGACATAATGTTTTCAATGATTAGCGGTTTCTTATTAATTATTCTGGTTTAATTAAACTGTTTCTATTTCTGATAAACTGGAAGAAAATATAACCTCAAATACAAGATAGAGCAGATGACAGAGAAACATCCCATGTGAAATACAAAAGTTAGATAAAATTTTTAGCCAAATATAGTTTCAGAAACAGAAAGTAACTTAGTAAGAATGCTTTTCACTTAGGCCTGGCTGTCTACAAAATAGGCCCAAAGACGTAATTCTATATATAGTTGCTATATTAGACAATGTGAGAGAGACAAAGATATATAAAATATGTGGTCTCTACCCTAAAAGGTTTACAGTGTAATTTGAGGCAAAACATAAACATGGATAAGTTACATAATGTTGTAAAATTTAAGTATGGTATTGTTTGTCAATGCTTTAAAAAATATCAGAGGCTGGGCACAGTGGCTCACACCTGTAATCCCAGCACTTTGGGAGGCAGAGGCAGGTGGATCACAAGGTCAGGAGTTTGAGACCAGCCTGACTAACATGGTGAAACCCCGTCTCTACCAAAAATACAAAAATTAGGCAGGCATTGTGGCGCGTGCCTGTAATCTCAGCTCCAGAGATATAATCCCAGAAAACGAGATATGATTCAGTCTAGATGGTCCTGTAAAATGCTCTGATAGAAGAACAAATTGAACTGAATCTTACTATTTTTGAGGCTGAGTCTCACTCTATGCCCAGGCTGGACTGCAGTGGTGCAATCTCAGCTCACTGTAATGTCTGCCACCTGGGTTCAAGAGGTTCTTGTGTCTTAGCTTCCCAAGTAGCTGGGATTACAGGCACGCGCCACCATGCCCAGCTAATTTTTGTGCTTTTAGTAAAGATGGGGTTTTGGCCAGATGTGGTGGCTCACGCCTGTGATCTCAACATTTTGGGAGGCTGAGGTGGGCGGATCACAAGGCTAGGAGTTCAAGACCAGCCTGGCCAACATGGTGAAACCCTGTCTCTACTAAAAATACAAAAATTAGCCGGGTGTGGTAGCAGATGCCTATAATCCCAGCTACTTGGGAGGCTGAGGCAGGAGAATCACTTGAACCCAGGAGGTGGAGGTTGCAGTGAGCTGAGATTGCGCCACTGCACTCCAGCCTGGGTGACAGAGCAAGACTCCGTCTCGGTGGGTAGGGTGGGAAGACAGGGCTTCGCCATGTTACCCAGCCTGGCCTCTAACTCCTGGGCTCAAACAATCCACCTGCCTCAGCCTCCCAAAGTGCTGGGATTACAGGCATGGGCCACCACGCCTGGCCTAAACTGGATTTTTAAATAGGAAAGAACTGAAGAGATGTTGAAGAGAGGTAAAATATTTTAGGTAGACAGTAAAGGAGTAAGCAAAGGTCTCAGAAGAGTACAAAGCATACGCACACAGTGAGTGAGTCAACCTCTTGGTTATAGCCAAAGACTTACGTAAGGCTGCAATCTGAAGCAAGGGTAGAAACTAATTTATCATGTGGAAATAAGAGGGTGAGGTGGGAGGAGGAATGGAAACTTGGTTTTGGTTTTAGATATGGAACATCTGAGGGGAAAACAGCCCATCTTTAGAACTGATTTTCCATCTGTTTCTCCTTTCTTCCCCTTCACAAATACTATGCCTTTTCTATATTCCAAATAAGATACTTTCATCCTACACCTTATTCAGGTGATTTGTTTCGCTCAGGTTTTGCTATTCTTTTTTTTTTTTAGACTCTGGGGTACATGTGCAGGTTTGTTATACAGGTAAACTCGTGTCATGAGGGTGTGTCATACAGATTATTCCACCACCCAGGTACTAAGCCTAGTACCCAATAGTTATTTTTTCAGCTCCTCTCCCTCCTCCCGGCTTCCACCCTCAAGGAGGCCCCAGTGTCTGCTGTTCCCTTCTTTATGCTCATGAGTTCTCATCATTTAGCTCCGACGTATAAGTAGGAACACGCGGTATTTTCTGTTCCTATGTCAGTTTGCTAAAAATAATGGCCTCCAGCTCCATCCATGGTCTTGCAAGGACATGATCTTGTTCTTTTTTCTGGCTGCATAATATTCTATTTTATATATATATATGTGTGTGTGTGTGTATATGTACCACATTTTCTTTAACCACTCTGTTATCATGGGCATTTAGGTTGATTGTATGTCTTTGCTATTGTGAATAGTGCTGGAATGAATATCGCATGTGTGTGCATGTGTCTTTATGGCAAAATGATTTATATTCTTCTAGGTATATACACAGTAATGGGATTGCTAAGTCAAATGAAAATTCTGTTTTTAGCTCTCTGAGGAATTGCCATACTGCTTTCCACAATAGTTGAACGAATTTACACTCCCACCAACAGTGCTCCCTTTCTCGGCAACCTTGCCAGTATCTGTTATTTTTAAGACTTTTTAATCATAGCCATTCTGACTGGTGTGAGATGGTACTTAAACTAAAGAGCTGCTCTGCACAGCAAAAGAAACTATCAACAGAGTAAACAGACAACCTACAGAATGGGAGACAATATTTGCAAACTATGCATCTGACAGAAGTCTAATATCTAGTATCTATAAGAAACTTAACAAATTCATAAGAAAAAAACCACGCCATTAAAAAGTGGGTAATACATGGATACTTTTCTAAAGAAGACATACATGTAGCCAAGACACATATGAAAAAAAGCTCAATATCACTGATCATTAGAGAAACGCAAATCAAAGCCACAATGTTCTTTGCTATTCTTAAGACATCCTTTCCCCCTTCCTGATTTTGTTCCAGTTAAATTCCATTATGCCTCTGGAACAGTTTAAAATCTATCCTCTCTATATTCCCACTACGTTTTAGCATTTTATTTTTGCTTTTTTTTTTTTTTGCGACTTATTTTACCTAATTTTTTCCTTGTTTATCCACATGTCTTCTCTATCAGGTTGGAAGCTCCTTGAGGGTAGAGACAGTGTCTTTATATTCTCCAAAGTGCCTTATATACAAAAGATAAGTGACTGAAATGTTTAGTAGGCAACTTGAAACTACTTAGGTGGAAGGCAAAAGGTTAGACTATCTATCTGAGAATATGTAAAATCATCTCACTGAAAAGAATTAAATGGTCTGAAAGAATGGATGAAATCTTTCTGAGAACAAGTAATATGATCACCTTAGAACAATGAAATACATCTAAAAGGGAAGACAGGAAAAGATAGTGAGGGAGCAATTCGAGAAGTAATAATAAAAATAATACAAACATACATTTTGTATGACGCCTTAAAATTTCCCAGCTACCTTCTTGTATAATTATTTAATATAATCATAGAAATTTATAAAGTAAGTGGAGGTACTTTTTTATTGCACAGATGAGAAAAATGGAGCTTGATGCAGTTAAATAACTTGCCCAAAGTCTCACGGTGACTAGCCAGAGTTAGAAGCCAGTTTTCTGAATCTTAGTAGTACTACTACTAAGACACAGGTTTGGATCACAGAATGGAGGCCAGTGAGTGTTTCAATAGCAATGATAAGATAGCAATAATACCGTGCATTTGTACTGACCTTCATTATAGCTTCATTATGCCCTTTCAACTCCAATTTGTTCTTAGAATGAAGAGTGGGCAAGAATTAAATGCTGCAGAGCAAGGAAAGAGATCAAAAACTCAGAAAAAGGGCCAGGCGTGGTGGCTCAAGCCTGTAATCCCAGCACTTTGGGAGGCCGAGACAGGCGGATCACGAGGTCAGGAGATCAAGACCATCCTGGCTAACACGGTGAAACCCCGTCTCTACTAAAAATACAAAAAACTAGCCAGGCGAGGTGGCAGGCGCCTGTAGTCCCAGCTACTCAGGAGGCTGAGGCAGGAGAATGGCGTGAACCCAAGAGGCGGAGCTTGCAGTGAGCTGAGATCCGGCCATTGCACTCCAGCCTGGGCGACAGAGCAAGACTCCGTCTCAAAAAAAAAAAACACACACACACACACAAAAAAAAACCAAAAAAAAAAAAAACTCAGAAAAAGTTAAGGTTTATGAAGAGTGAAAAAGAGAAAGCAGAGTGTGTCGCCCACTCACCTTTGAAATCTGGCTGTGAAAGGAAGGAAAGAAACAGGATGGTAGCTAAAAGAAGTAGGGTGAAGGTAACTTTCAAGAAGGAAGAGAATCATGCATGTTTGAGGGCAAGAAGAAAGTAGGTGCGGAAAAAGAAAAGTGAATTTAAGGGGAATAAGAAGAATTTTTACATGTATACCCTACGATACAGGAGAGAGATGGGGACAAAAAGTGATCATCAGGGATGGAGAAGAACATTTCTGAAGCATTAAATTTTCTTTGAAAATAGGGGGCAAAAAATAGTATAGGGATTATGAAAGTAGAAACAGAAAGTAGTGAAAGTTTAAGTATTTAGGAGTAGAAATATTTAGAATAGCTTGGAAGGGGAGGACTAAAAGGCTGAATGAAACAAAGAGTACAGATAGCTAATATACAGGGAAGCTCCAAAAGAAATTGGATGAAATAATTTGTAGGAAGCCAAATCATCATAGTTTGAAAAGCACTAACAATGATCTGAAGTCTGAAAGTACTATCAGAGAAAGAAGACACTGATTTGATTCAAAATAGAGGGTCTGGCAAAGGGGTACAGGAAGAATAAAGAAGTGAGAGAATAGAAATGTCATTGAGACATTTACTGAGTGGCTGTTAAGTTCTCCACATGGGGTAAAAGCCATTTTAAATATTTCGGGAAAACGATGATTCTAGAAAGTAAGGAATGGTTTTTACGTGTCTGGCTACCAATCTTGAATTTTAAACTCTTATTTTTTTCATTAAATTGTGTTATGTTAACATATATAGGTATTATTTTTAACACACACGAAATATTTTTCAGTTTCTATTTCTAATATCTTAACACTGGCTTTAATCCACATAAACAAAAACTCTTCGGAATCCTGTAACTGTTAAGAGTGAAAAAGTATCCTGAGATCCAAAAGTTTGAGAACCACTAATCTAATTAAAATCCTCACTTTAAAGATGAGAAAAGAGACCAAGTGAGGTAAAATATCTTATCTAACCTTACAAAAATAGGACTAAACCCTAGCCTCTTCACTGTATCACAGTCAAGAGCCCAGTGTCCCCTCCTCAGTCTTTGTACCAATTAGTGAACAAGAGTATATTTCCAAGATAAATTCAAATTCCTTACTAAATAGTCAAATCATTCTTTATTTGAATTCACGTCAATTAAATGAGGCATCTAACAGTATTGCAAGGTGACCCATACTACTCCTGTTACATGAAAGTTGATTATCCAGCTGACACAAAATTAATTTATCCAAGTATAAAACTCTTTTCCTTGGCATACTCAAGTAACAAACATTTGCAAATGAAAATATTACAGATTAATAAATTTTAGATTTAGACATCAAAATCTTTACATTTTTACAATATTTATTCCTTTTTTTTTTCCCCAAGATGTAGTCTTGCTCTGTCACCCAGGCTGGAGTGTGGTGGCAGGACCTCAGCACACCGCAATCTCTACCTCCTGGGCTCAAGCGATTCTTCCGCCTTAGCCTCCCAAGTAGCTGGGATTACAGGTGCCTGCCACCACGCCAAGCTAATTTTTGTATTTTTAGTAAGACAGAGTTTCACCATGTTGGGAAGGCTGGTCTCAAACTCCTGACCTCAAGTCATCTGCCCTTCTTGGCCTCCCAAAGTGCTGGGATTACAGGTGTGGGCCACTATGTCCGGCCAAAACTTACTCTTAAAAGCCAAGATTTATTGAGTGCTCATTATGTGCTCTCAAAGCACATTACTTGTAATTTTTCTTTTAATATTAGGGAAGGTACCATTTTTAAGCCCATCTTGTATAGATAAAGAAACAGAACCTTAGAGACATAAAGTAACACCAAAGATCATATTTTAGGAACAAAAATGGTACTGAAACATAGGTACATTCCAAAGCATAGTAAGTACAATGCCCGTGCTTCTGTTTTTATGTAATAGTTGAAAATATTACCATTCTTTCATTAGAGAGAGAAAAAAAACACCCCTGCCACAAAAAGGGGCAACCATACAGTCAAATATAATCTTGGGATTCCTCAACTAAAATTCATTGCCTTTGCCTTTTCCAAATCTACAGTACACTTTGTTGGAATCTGAACTATATTCTCTACCTCTTTTTATTTAGCTCCTGGTAAAGCATGTGATTTCTTTTTTCCTTTTTTTTTTTTTTTTTTTTTGAGACGGAGTCTCGCTATGTTGCCCAGGCTGGAGTGCAGTGGCGTGATCTCAGCTCACTGCAAGCTCCGCCTCCCGGTTTCACACCATTCTCTTGCCTCAGCCTCCCGAGTAGCTGGGACTACGGGTGCCCGCTACCACGCCTGGCTAATTTTTTGTATATTTACTAGAGATGGGGTTTCACGGTGTTAGCCAGGATGGTCTCGACCTCCTGACCTCGTGATCTGCCCGCCTTGGCCTCCCAAAGTGCTGGTATTACAGGTATGAGCCACCACGCCCGGCTGCATGTCATTTCTTTTAGTATTGTTTTTGCTGCCAGTATTTTCTGGTAAACTGAAGAAACAACTATTAACTCAGTTAAAGATGATTAGGGTAACTCTTAATATAAAAACTTCATGTAATAAGAAACATAAGAGCATATTTTTAAGGAAACAGAAAAAGATCTTTATATATACACACACATAAAGCAACCATAGTTAACTGCTTGATTACAAATGTTAAAATCTGATAAAAGAATTTTCAGTTGGAAGAAACTCTAGAAATGATCTAATTATTACATTTTATATATGGATAAATAAACTGGATGCAGAGAGGTAAAGTGAATTACCTTGCTCAATCTAATACAACTAAGACACTGTGGACATTTAACAAGGCAATAAATAATGTGGTACTTCTTTTTTTTTTTTTTTTTTTTGAGATGGAATCTCACTCTGTCGCCAGGCTGGAGTGCAGTGGCACAATCTCGGCTCACTGCAATCTCTGCCTCCCGGGTTCAAGCGATTCTCCTGCCTCAGTCTCCCGAGTAGCTGGGATTACAGGCATGCACCACCACGCCCCGCTAATTTTTGTATTTTTAGTCGAGATGGGGTTTCACCATGTTGGCCAGGTTGATCTCGATCTCCTGACCTTGTGATCCACCCGCCTCGGCCTCCCAAAGTGCTGGGATTACAGGCATAAGCCACTGCACCTGGCTAGTACCTCTTAAATTAGCCAAAGAAACTTAAATAATAGGTGAAGAGCAACTTTCCCACAGAAATAATGTAAAAAACTTTATTATATCCTTTCTAGAAGATGACTTAAAGTAAACAGTTAACTACTACTCTAAACACTAACAACTCAGCCCAACTGAGGGGAAAAATAATTATGTGAGAGGAGAAGGAGACCAAGAGCTACACTGGGAAACTAGTGGAAAGAGCTAACCCCAATCCTGTCCCAACACTAGTATCTAACATAATGGAAAGCTGTGGTTCTAATGAAGGTTTTTGAGGGCTTCTTGATAACCAAAGTTTCTCAAAGCACTAAAAGGATACTTTTATAACAAGCTGCAAGGTCAAACTGTAAGTAGTTAACATATGCAAACTTCACAGAAAGGATAAGCATAACATAATCCCAATACAAAACAAGAGAAACTGCAAGGTGAATACGTGACTGTGTACTCTACGATGACATTTACTAGTCTTTAAGTATCCTACTATATCATCTGGCAATGCCTAAGAACACTAACAGTACATTCCCCATGGGGCAGACCTTACAATTCTTAACACTAGCACATATACAATTATCTAAGATCAAAACAGAAAACTCCTAAGGCAAACGGGTAGAGAAAAAGTATCTGGAATGAGAACAGTTTTGAAAAGAAGTACTAACATTTATAATTAAAAATGTATTCTTTCTAAATAGAAAAGAATAAATATTCCATTTACCAGCAGGCATAATGAATGGGTGCCCAGTGGTCACTGTCTAATTGGTTGACTGAAAATCTTTCACTGAGAAGACGGCTTAGTAATTCTGAATCTCCTTCACAGGCGCTTCGGTGGAGAGGAAAATCATCTACCCACTGTCGTTCCCTAATCATTAAAAAGAAATTTTGAAAAATACAAACAGGACTGTTAAAATTGTTTCAAAAGAAATGTGACACATCTATGAAAGCTCTATATCACCGAGCAGCTGTAAACTCAGTAGTGACTACAATGCATACAAATTGCATATATAATTTTAAACAACAGTTTAAATTAGAATGTAAGTTTTTATAAAAGCAATGTGGAGTAAAACTGAAACAGTACTTGTCTTCTGTGACACTGCTCATGCTTCTCTGCCATTTTTCCTGTTTAGGTATTTGGATTTTTGAGTAGTCTGGAGCTCCTAGACCAAAGTATGGATTTATTACCACTTTATCTACCTAGAAAGGGAAAACAATAACAAAAACCCATTAAGAGCTTTGTCCTCTTAATGTTTACATGTTTATATTTTAAATTTATTTATTTATTTATTTATTTATTTATTTATTTATTTATTTATTTA